GAAAATTGCCGTGTGAAGTGATTGTTCCTTATGATGCCAAACAAGTCAACGTCCTATGTGCTCTTTTAGATGATTGGGCAGTGTTTCGTTGTGGGTTCCCAGGCTTTATAGACAATCATTTACCAAAAAGTCCATTGTTACAATTCTTTAAAGAACATCCAGTAGTATTTCCAAAAATTACAGCCGCTGAGCCATTACTAGGTGCTCCAAATATATTTACGGATGGGTCAAAAACAGGCTGTGGGGTTTATATGGTAGAGGGTAATGACCCGGTATTTCATCAGTTTCAGCCAGGCTCACCTCAAGTTGTGGAGTTAAAAATAGTTATTGAGGTCCTTAAGCAGTGCTCTTTTGCCTTTAATTTATTGTCAGATTCCTTATATGTGGTGAACGCATTAAAGATATTGGAAACCGCAGGGCCGATTAAACCTTCTAGCCCAATTGCATCCCTATTACATATAGCCCAGCAGTTGCTTTGGTCACGGAAAAATCCCTTTTTTGCTCAGCATATTAGAGCCCACACAGGCATGCCTGGTCCTTTATGTGAAGGCAATGCGCGAGTAGATCTGTGTACTAGACAGGAATTCATCTTTTTTACTACTTCCGCAGAGGCTGCTAAAGCTTTCCATCAATCTTTTCATGTCAACGCGTGCGCTTTGCAGCAGAAATTTCATCTTTCCCGCGCAGATGCCAGACAGATTGTACTTGATTGCGCTGACTGTGCTGTTACTCGTGCACAGCCCAGTGTTGGCGTAAACCCTAGAGGGTTACTGCCTGGGAGAGTATGGCAGATGGATGTGACCCATGTATCGGAATTTGGGAAATTGAAATATGTTCATGTCTCAGTGGACACGTGCTCAGGCATTATGTATGCCTCTCCCCTCAGTGGTGAATCTACACGTCAGGTGATTGCTCATTGTCTGGATGCATGGGCCGCCTGGGGGAAACCCCAGGTGCTAAAAACTGATAATGGCCCGGCCTATACATCTCAAACCTTTACCACCTATTGCCAAAAAATGGAGGTTCAACTTGTCCATGGATTGCCATACAATCCTCAGGGCCAGGGCATAATTGAGCGAGCACACCGCACACTGAAAGAATATCTTTTAAAACAAAAAGGGGGAGTTGGCTATAGCCGCACCCCGAGAGAGAGAATTGCCTTAGTCTTATTTACAATTAATTTTTTAAATTTGGATGTGCATGGGCACTCAGCTGCGGACAGGCATCAGCAACAAGGAAACCCAAGTAGAGGGTTGGTAAAATGGAAAGATCTCTTGACGGGCCAGTGGCGTGGCCCTGATCCCGTGCTGGCATGGGCACGAGGTGCTGTTTGTGTTTTTCCACAGGATCAACATGACCCGGTGTGGGTTCCGGAGCGAGCGGTCAGGCGGGTCTGCTACGAGGAGAATCCTGCTGTTGCTTTTGATACTTCTGCCTCAAATGCAGCGGACACTGGCGGAGCAGAGATGGGGGATTCTATCAGTATTCCCAAAGCCGATGCCGAATTGGTCCGCGGAATTTGACTACACCTTGGAGCAACTGCGCCTTGCCATGGTCACCATCAACTCCACGCATGTGGATGTCTCCCTCGCATCTGGACTGTCATCCCAGATCCAGCTGTCTCCAGCCTGAAGGAGTGGGTGGGACTTGGAGCTTTGACGGGGTTGCTGTTACTTGTGTTATTTTGCCTGTGGTGTTTGTGCAGGATGAGGACAGCTCATTGGCGGGAATTGGCCATGATAGCTCAAGCCTTTTATGCCCTTGAGGCTGGACAACTGCCGCAAGCATGGCTGGCCTTCCTTGAATGCTAGGCATGGGTGCAGGGTGCGAGGCAAAGCACTGCAGAGAGAACGAGCCATTACGTTCTCTGGAAGGCAAGTCTGTCTGCATGTGGGTTGGCATCCCAGATCCCACCCCCGCGAAAAGGATGCTGTTCCAGGTGGATGCCTGGCAGTGGGGGACAGACCCCTACCTTCTCCTGTAATCCTTAGATGCCTAGTTCTAAAACAAAAAGGGGGAACTGTGGGGAGCCATTGCACGGCGCCCTAAAGATGGCGCCGGCTCCTTTCCCCCGGAAGGACTGGCGAGAAACAAACATCTCCTAATAAGGAGATGTTTGAGCTCCCTTCCGGCTTCCGCGTTGCTGTACCAATCAATGCTTGCCACTTGGCCGCTTTTGATTGGTGCGCGGATGGCTATAAGAGGGAGGGGAGAAAAAAGGGCGCGAGATTCGAAGTTTGAAAGAGGTTCCTGAATAAACTGCTGGAAGAAGAGTTCGGGTCGTGTCTTCCTTGCTGGTCGAGGGACGCGACACACCACCACCACTGAAACCATCTGGGCAGAACCCTGACCCTCGGGGACATCAGCCCAAAGGGCAGGACTAATAGCCCTAACAATGGCCCTTAAATTAGGCAAAGACAAAAAATTAAATGTCTATACCGATATGCCTTCGCCACTGCCCACATCCACGGGGCTATTTATCAGGAAAGGGGCCTACTGACTACAGAAGGAAAGACTGTCAAAAACAAACAAGAGATCTTGAGTCTCCTCACAGCCCTATGGGGGCCCTAGAAACTGGCAATCATTCATTGCCCAGGCCACCGAAAAGGCTCAGGGCCTATCCAACTGGGAAATAACTTGGCAGATAAGATTGCCAAAGAAATAGCCGAAACCAGGAAAATTACTCCTGTCCTAGTGGACCCGGGGGCACGAGATTTGCCAGAGACCCCCCAGTGCACCCCTGAAGACCTGATCTGGATAAATGACCAACCCATGGCCCACCTCTTAGACAAAGGCTGCTGGAGGACAGTGAATGGACGGGTCATCCTACCGCATAAATTAGGCCAGACCATCTTAAGGAAAATCCATCAGGCTTCCCACCTGGGAACTAAAGACACAGAGCCTGCTCAAGCAATCCGACCTGAGAACACTGACGACAACGACCTTAGCAAAGAGACTGCTTCCAAGTGCGGCGCCTGTCGGTTGACTAACGCTTGTTTGGCCCCCAACAGTTCAGGTGCAAGAATTAGGGGAACCTGACCGGGTACGTACTGGGAAGTTGACTTTACTGAAATTAAATCAGGAAAATTTGGCTATAAATATTTATTAGTATTCATAGATACTTCCTCTGGATGGACTGAAGCCTTCCCCACAAAACATGAAACTGCCAACGTGGTAGCAAAAAAACTGGTTGAAGAGATCGTGCCCAGGTATGGATTTCCCACCATGATCGGGTCAGACAACAGCCCAGCTTTCATCTCGCAGGTAAGCCAGGGAACAGCCACTGCACTGGGGACATGGAAATGACATTGTGATACCAGCCCCAAAGCTCAGGACAGGGAGAAAGAATGAACAGAACGCTGAAAGAGACCTTAACTAAACTGGCCTTAGAGACTGGTGCGGACTGGGTAACTCTCCTTCCCCTTGCTCTACTCCAGGTTAGAAATTCCCGCTACCAGCTCCTTTTGAAATTATGTATGGTAAACCCCCTCCCCTAATACCTAGCTTACAGCCTGATCTGATTGCTACTCTAGATGACCAGGATGTCCTGGACGCTGTGCGTCGGCTCCAGCTAATGCACCAGGATATTTGGCCTAAATTCAAAGCTGTATATGAAACTGCTTCTCCTCCTACCCCTCATAGATTCCGAACGGGGGATTGGGTTCTGGTTCAGACACATCATCGCAAGACTCTCCAGCCTCGATGGAAGGGCCCCTTCGTTGTCCTGATGACAACTCCCACGGCTCTCAAAGTAGATAGGGTCGCTGCATGGATCCACTACTCTCACGCCCGGCCGACGGACCCGCCCGCTCCTCCGACAACGGAGCCCCAAGGAGAAACCTGGAGCATCCTCAAACATCCGCCCAGCCCACTGAGACTCACACTGTGCAGAGATGGGGGCCAATCCCAAAACCCTCCCAGCTAGCTTTGATTTTGCTTTTGCTCTTGTTTTTCTTTTCCTTCCGTCAAACTTCGGCTGTAAGTAACCCTCCTCAATCGTACCGGTGGGTGCTGAGTAGAAACGGCAAAGTTCTACCATCACAGACCGGACCACTTGGTGGGCCAGCGGCGGCATCCTTTGTAACGACTCTGCGCTCTAGCCCCTCTCTGCCCTCCTAAATGCTAAGGACTTGTGTATGTGCCCTGCTTCAGGACCGACCTACTGTAACAATCCGGTCACTAATACTGTGCCTATGGGGGCATGTGAAGCAACAGCATCAAGCTGGATACTGAAACCAGGAAAAGATCCAAATATCAAGGCACCATGGTGGCCGGAAAACTGTATACCTGACAGCCCTTTTGGGAGTGATGGGAGAAAATAAAGTCACAAAATCAGCAACCAACTATGTAAACAAATCCAGATCAATGTAACCGACCCCAGTGACCCTAGATGGGCCTATGGAAGGAGCTGGGGTATTAGATACTATATAGAAGGAATGGATCCAGGAGGGATATTTTCCATTCAGAGATTTCTGACAGAGGAGTCAGTGGCAATAGGCTCCAATCAGGTAGTAAATCCTCAACCAACCCAAAAGCCGACCCCCAGTACAGCAGGCCTCATTATTGCCTCTAAACCCAATGCAATAAGCCCTACCATTTCCTCTGGACTCACAAGGGTTACTAATGCCCCCAACACCCTTGATCCTCAAATTCCTGTAAAACACCCGCTATTAGATTTGCTTGCCCAGTCTTTCCAGGTCCTAAATGATACCAACCCAAATTTAACAATGGCTTATTGGCTTTGCTATGACATAGCCCCCCCTTATTATGAAGGTTATGCGGTAACCACCACGTTTTCTAACTCTACCTCCTCCGCTAACTGTAGATGGAAAAGCCGTAACCGGGGTTTAACTTTAGAACAGGTTATGGGGCAGGGACTCTGCTTGGGACAGGTCCCCCACAGAAAAAAATCTCTGTGATTCTGTTCTTAAAGCATTTCCAGCAAACCAGTATATCATCCCTCACAATGACACCTGGTGGGCTTGTTCTACCGGCCTTACCCCTTGTGTCCACCTCCAGGTCTTAAATCAGACTGATTATTGTGTACTTGTTAGATTGGTCCCCAAAATTCTGTATCATACAAATAGTGAATTCCTAAAAAAGATCCAGGACAAACAGGAAATAATTAAAACCCACAGATATAAAATGGAGCCCATAACTGCCCTAACTTGAGTTTACTAATAGGAGCCAGTCTGGGGGGATGGGGGCTGGGCACCAGGGTGTCGGTCCTAGTAACCCAAAACCAACAGTACTCCAAATTAAGGGCAGCTATAGACATTGACATAGAATGCATAGAAAACTCCATTACCCACTTTGAATGATCCCTCTCATCTCTGGCTGAAGCTGTGTTACAGTTGAGGAGGGGACTCGACCTAGTGTTCTCGCAACAAGGGGGCGTGCGCTGCTCTGGGGGAAGAGTGCTGCTTTACGCCGATCACGCGGGCCTAATGAAAGATAACATGGCTAAAGTCGGGGAAGGACTGGCACAACGGAAAAAAGAACAGGACGCCTCTCGGGGGGGTCTGAGTCTTGGTTTAATGCATCCCATGGCTAACCACCCTACTAACAGGACTCACTGGGCCCCTCGTTCTCCTAATTCTAATCTTAACCGTTGGCCCTTACATTATCAACAGACTTGTGCAGTTCATAAAACACAGATTGGGCACCATTCAATTAATGGTCCAATGGTCCCAGTATAGACCCATAAACGTTTGTGAAACTTACGAACTGTCAGTCTAAAAACCATGATTGGGTTTTTCAAACATGAACAAAAACAAGGAGGGAATGAAAAGCCAAAGTGACTCCATTTTAAAACAATAAAAAAAAAGCAGCCTCTGTTTCCCATAGCAGACCCGGGTCCTTGTAAAAGCAGGCATTCAGGCATTCCGGAGATTTCAAAGCTTACCAGGGACAGCTAGCTCGGTAGACCAAGGACAGCTCAGTAGAGATGGCTGAACAAAGTAACTCCCTGTGCCCAGAGCTTCCATGCTGTATGTAACTCTTTTTTCCTGCTGATGTAGCCCTTTTTTCCTTTAAAAACTCTCCCAAACAAAGACCGGGGCCTCACTCCTTCCTCCGCTGCATGGGTTGGTTGGATGGGGTCCCTGTCGGGGCCGGTACCCCTGAATAAACCTTGCTCTTGCAGTTCGGTGTGATGGACTCTCTGGGGGTCTCTGTGGGGATCTAATGATCTGGGCACAACAACCTAACAAATCAAGGAAGTCCCCCACTGAGCACAGGGTATAGGTAGGATCTGATACACCACTGTCTGTTCCTTTAACGTAGGGAACCCCTGCAGAAGGCCATCAGCTGCTGAGGTGCTAGGAATTTGCTTTGTTATGGCAGCAGTGCTGTGCGTGTCTTTCCTTTGGCTAGAGGTGGCGTGGCACGCCGCTCTTAAGCACTCAAACATGGGAAAGATAGATACCCCCCTCTCAGAAACCCACAATTTCCAAACATAACGAATCTGTGTGATAAGAGCCTGTCACTCCAGGCCTCTGCCTCACAGACATCAGTTGATGACTTAGGGAGAGAGAGCTCTGACGGTGAAAATAACATGACAGCAGACAAGGCATCAATGCCTGGTCAGCCACCCCCCAAGTACCCATGGATGAACTTAGATGACCTCGAGGTGATAACCCATGTGAGGTCATCCCATCCGCACCCAGTGAGGATCCCCACATTTGTGGCAGTCCTCAGGCACCCCAGGCTCTCAGGGCAGCCACTAGACCCCATCCCACCCATATGTTTGCCATTAACGTAGGAGTGGATGCAGAATTCAGGCCTTGGATTGCAGCACCTGTAAAAAGGCTTCTGCTAACCAAAGGTAGAGGATATGCTTGTGTCTTTCCAGAGAATGCGGAACAGCCTATTTAGGTACCAGCCAGAAACATCAAGCCTGCAACTGACAGCCAACCAGAACCAGCTGAACAAGACTGAGAATCCACCTTGTTAGCAGACGCACCTGCCCTATCATCCTACCCTGAGAAACTGCCCATAGCCATATCTGTTACTATTTTGTACCCCCACTAGCTCTGGTCAGCCACTCAAATGGCCCACAGCCTGTGTGCGGACATGCCATTCCTGATTACCATTGTTCCTCATTCCTACCCCTATCTGAGCAAGCACTCCTGTGGTCTCCCGTTTTGAGCGCTGGTTAATCAATGACAGGTAAGATCCCCTGGGGGACAACCTAAGACAGGCACAGCTGCATACGGAGGCTGTGGAAATGGGGTCAACAATGGTATGGCCAAGAATCATTCCACCAATTGCTCAAAAATAAACGAAAAGGGGGAAATGTGGTGGAATGAGAAGGTCATGCCAAGATGGCCACTGGCAACGGAAACTGACAACAGGCTGTGATTGGATGGCTTTGGAAACCACATGGCAATGGAGCCTGCCTGGCAACAGGCTGTGATTAGTTAGGGCATAGACCACCCCTTGACCAGATTGGCTGCCTCAGCTATATAAGCTGCTGTACCAACTGAAATAAACGAGTCTGTGGGCTGCTCACCTCTGGCCTGCTTTCACTCGATTCCCGGGGTCTGTGTGGTGACTCTGCGCCTCTTGCCCCCACCACGCTCCTCCTCTCTGAAAGAATCCACAGCAACAGTAGGCTACACTAAATATACATAGTCTGAATATTCCAAGCTAGACCCAAAACTATGAGGATGAGTGGGAAAAAATAAAAAGGCAGTCTCAAGCACTCACAGTAGTGGGTACTACAATGATCTAACTCTCATTTTCTTAGGGCTGGGATAGCCAAGTACCATAAACCAAATTACCGAGAACAGAAACGGATGAAGCCACAGTTCTGAAGACTAGTCAAAAATGAAGCTGCGGGTGAGGCCATGCTCCCCCTGAAGGGCCAAAGGAAGAATTTTAGAATTTTACTTCTGAGTAACGTGTGTGCAGGCAACAGAATCCTATCAAATTATCCTGACTGAAATATTTCATCAGTTTCCAAATCAGTTGGGCTGCGCGATTCCAAAATCCCTCCTTCGAGATTTTGTCTAAACTGCCAAGTGAAGACCTCTTAATTCACTGATCTCCATCAATGGCCCCTGCCAAGGAACAGTTCAAAGTCTTGAATTCACAAAGAGAGAAAGTAGTGAAGGTGAAAAACAGCAATCAGGAACCAGATCTCAGATTCTCTTTCCTGGGCCAACTGAAAGCAGGCTGCTTCATATTGCATCCCATTAACTTTCTACTCCTCAGTTGTAAACCAGTCACTCAGGGCTCTGGCCAGGCACAAAGCACGTTCCAGCTCACTAAGGCTGGGGTCGGCCTGAGGGGATGCGCTTTTCCCAAGACCTCCCTCCACTAAGGCTGGCATGGTTGATCTGCAGACCATGCTTGCTCCACTGAAGATCTACCAAACTAGAAAGCACAGTGGGGGAGCCAGCGCTGTGGCGTAGCAGGTAAAGTTGCCGCCTGTAGTGCCAGCATCCTATCTGGGCACCAGTTCGAGTTCCGGCTGCTCCACTTTTGATCTAGCTCTCTGCTCTAGCCTGGGAAAGCAATGGAAGATGGCCCAAATCCTTGAGCCCCTGCACTTGCATGGGGACCCTGAAGAATCTCCTGGATCCTGGCTTCGGATCAGCACAATTCTGACGATTGCAGCCATCTAGGAAGTGAACCAGCAGGTGGAAGACCTCTCTCTCTACCATTGCCTCTCTGTAACTGTACCTTTCAAATAAATAAATAAATCTTCTACAAAAGAAAGCATAGTGGGAAATACTATGCCAGGGAACTTCAAAAAGTGTGTGGGAAAACAGATTTAAAATCTAAGCTTATTTTGGTGCAAATCTATGCTTAGTTTTTTCATAATATGTATTATTGTGAACTCTTTGAAGACTAATCTATACTTGCATTTTGAAATATTTTGCGCCAAAATAAACTCATTTTTCTATTTATTTTGTTCATTTGAAAGACAAAATGACCATGAGAAGAAGCAATCTTCCACCTGTTGCTTCACTCCCCAAATGGCCAGGACTCCACCCACGTCTCCTACATGGATGGCAGGGCTCAAAGTCCTTGGGCCATATTTCACTGCTTTCCCAGGCACATTAGCAGGGAGCTGGATCAGAAGTAGAGCAGCTGGGATCCAAACCAGTGCTCCAACATGGGATGCAGCCATCACGGACAGCAGTTTAACTCTCTACACCACAAAACTGCCCCTAAACTCATCTTTTAATTCCAGATTTCCACAAATTCTCAATGTCTGTTTGTAATTTCATGAAAGCAACCAAATCTAAAAAGTGCCTAGGAATTCACTTTCAGGAATTATCCACAATGTCCATAGGAAGAGAAAACAACAATTAATGGCTAGACATGAGGGTCTGAATTAAGTGATCAGATAGGATAATCTGATGATGGGAAAATAGCAATTCTTCCCAATTCATCCAAGAGTTCAAACCTAATACCATGTTTAAAGCCAAGATTGCCATATGCCGACTTCCTGGTTTTCTTCATCCCATTCCCCCTCATACAGCAGGGCTGCCATCTGCCCAGCCCCCAGTGCTCCCAGGTACCCCCTTCTCTCAGCCTAGCAGACCCCAAGAGCAGCTGTGCAGCCGCAGCAGGAGGCCCTGCAGGCCCAGGAGGCTGGCGGTGGGGGCGGGACCCTGTGGCGTCCAGAGTCCCGGAGCTCTGACACTGCACACATCTCTTGAGCACTCGGGCACCTTTGTAGAAAATGGAGCTAAACAGGCCCCCGCTGAGTGCACACGGGGAGCGTTAAGCAGGGAAGCGGCTGCATGCACAGAGCACAGGCCTGGTCTCCACTGCTCCATGCGCTCAGGCTCCAGCTCCCCTTCCTGGTTCCCTTCACCGCCTGAGGGTTATGGAACCCCGAAGACTCTCCCCTGACTCATTTCAGGACGGGACCAGGGGCTCTGCCCACCATCAAAATGTGGCTCCATCCATACCCGTGTGGGAGACCAGCCCTGGAGGCAGACTCCTGTTTCTCGCTACTCCTGGAACTCAGGCTCTGGTTGGCGACCTGTGAAGAGCAGCAAACGTCTCCTAACTCTCATTCCACGAAGCTCACTCAGAAGTGCGGGTCCCCCGCATTTCTGCACTGTCCGTCTCCAGGCAGAGGGCGGGGCCATGGCCAGTGTTGCGTAGCAAAGTCCTGATCATAGTAAATGAGCGGCTGCGAGACGAACACGCAGATCGCTTCTGACTATTTGGTGCCTCCACTTCCTGCGACAAGCCCACAGAGGACAAAGGACGTGTGTTCCCTAGGAGATCACCCACTTCAACACTGCTCCAACATTTCCAAGTTCCCAGCATTCCCGTCAGCAGACGCAGTACCACGTAGTCACTACAAAGGAAGAGTGTCCAAAGCTGACAAAGCAATAGAGCAGTACAAGTGATGACACAGGAAATCTCTCGGAATGCATCCAGGGGAACTGCGTCTATGTTGGGGGAAAAAAGGGCCTGGAGCTGCGGCATAGTAGGCTGAACCTCCACCTGCGGTACTGACATCCCACATGGGCAATGGTCGATGTCGCAGCTGCTCCTCTTCTCACCTGTCTGCTTGCGTCCTGGGAAAGCCGTGGAAGATGGCCCAAGTGCTTGGGCCCATGCACCCCACCTGCGAGACCCAGAGGAAGCTCCTGGCTTCAGATTGGCCCAGCTCCAGCTGTTGCAGCCATTTGGGAAGAGAACCAGCAGACGGGAGACCTTTCTCTCTGTCGCTCCCTCTCTCTCTCACTCTGAAACTCTGTCAAATAAACAAAACCTTAAAAAGGAAATCCTAGTGGCGCAGGCACTGCGGTGCCGATGACGCCAGACTTGCGGTTCTCACATCCCATCCAGCAATGCCAGCTCAAGTCCCGGCTGCTCTTCTGACCCAGCTTTCTGCTGATGCACCTGGGAAGGCAGAGGGTGATGGCGCATGTACGCAGGCCCCTGCCACCCCTGGGGAGACCAGGATGGAGTTCCTAGCTCCTGGCTCCGTCCTGACCCAGCCCTAGCTGCTGTGGCCATTTGAGGAGTGCACAGCAGATCGAAGATCTCTCCCTCTCGGTCTAATGCTCTGCCTCACAAATAAGTAACAAATCTTGCAAAAAGTCCGAGGAAGACGATGAACTTGCACTATGACGATCAACAAAATGCGGCCCTGACTGCTCCTCACGATAGCATGGAACGAACGCTCTCCCTGCTTGGTTTCTACTTCTCCATATTCACGGTGCTCCTAAAGCCACCTATCTAACTCCTACCGTCTGAAGACGTTTTTGGAATTCACATGACAAACAGAAAGTAAATGAAGAGAAGGCCACAAAGGAAGCCACAGAGCCAGGGCAGAGGCGGCAGAGGCGGCAGGGGCTGACGCCCGGGGCCTGCCCCCACGACCCCGAACCCCAGCGTCTCCGCCAGGCTCACACACGCAGCTTGCTCACGGAGGTCGGCTAGCTCATTGCGCCGAGCAGCGGAGTCTCGTTCTGCTTTGACTTCTCTGGTGGGTCTTCCTGGCTCACTCCTCCTCAACGGTATCGGTTTCTCCAGGCCCAATTCCGACCGAGACCTTCTCTGGCCAGAACCCAACATCTTCCTTCCTCTAGAGGGCAGGAGAAGAAAGGGTCACTGACTCAGCTGATCAGATACCCGTACTGAATGCCCACCACGGAGCACTCACTTCCCCAGGAGGCAGCTAAGCCATGGTGACAGGTGCGGGCCCCGCCCTCCCGGAGTCCTCGGCTCGGATGTGCCGCCTAGAGCAGGAACCCGCAGAGGAACCACGCACAGCCTGGGGCAGGTTCTCAGCCCTCCCTCTTGGCAACGGCTGCCTCCGAATGAGACCACTAGAGCTGTGTCCTTCACTGCAATCAACAGTTGGAGCTGCACCAATTCCTAGGCGAAGGAGCCCAATGGAAGGCAGACTCGGCCATGTGCCCCAGTTTAGAGATGATGAACAGGACACATAAGTACCTGGGTCAGAGAGCCACTGGTCCTTAGCAAAGCCAGGACACCCAGAGCCCCCTGGGCCAGGTAGGGAATTGACCGCCCCTCACCGCCATGTCTTCATCTCTCAGGATGGGGCCTGACCCAATGCAGCAGTAACCAAGCCTGTGTGGAACCCTTACCCAATGTAGGGATGCACGGAATGGGCGAGACAAGAGAGGCTTCTGGACATGTTGGGGGAAAGCAGGTGAAAGCTGACCCAGTGTGGAAGGACTCACACAACGCAACCACAGCACAGTGGCTGCCTGCCCACAGCAAGCAACAGCCTGGTGCCTTCGGGGTCCAGGGAGCACCCCAGGGTGTGCGGGCGGCACAGGCAGCAGGAAGGAGCCCTGGGAGCACGTCACCCAAGGCCTTTGAGGTCAGACTCCGAAGTCTGCACCTGCTCCTACAGCACAGGACAGCCACGAAAAGTCACAGAGCAACGAAGTGCCAGGGACAAAGGCGTGAATGACAGGTCAGGCGGCAGCGGCTGGCAGAGTCCACTGGAGAGAACCTGGGTATGGAGAGGACTAGCACTGGGGGAAAGAGAGAGATGGGGAAAGAAACAGAGACAGAGGAAAGAGAGAGAGTGCTCCGAAGAATGAGACAGGCGGGCACAATGACCAGGTGCTGGGTGGGGAGGCCCAGGCCTGAGAGCACGGGAGGGGGCAAGCATGACTTGAGGCTTCAGCAGTGACGTCATCTTCGTCCACCACTGAAAAGCCAAGCAGAGGGGCAGGCGGGGCAGGCAAGAGAGGCTCCCGCGGCTGGGATGTTCCAGCCTGGACCGCAACTAGAATTTGGGAACGTGACCCACCTGTGTCAGCTCCATTTCCTGTTCTCTTTGTAATGAGATGCATCCAACACCAAGTGTTCCATCACAGGGCCACGATCTCGTTATCCTTCAAAATCTCCCCTGCTGACGCACACCCTCCTACTGCTTGGACCCAGGCGGCCCCGCCCACCGGCCTGCGACCAGCGCGCCAGCAGAGCCGTGCACAACCCAAAGCCATAATACTGGCAGGAGTGTGTGTGTGTGTGTGTGTGGAAATGCACACGACACAAGCACACATATAGTGTACACAATGAGCATCGAGACACACACGAAGAAACAACTATCAAGTGCCACAAAACGTTTTCAAACAGCCAGGAAATCACTGGGTCCAACTACCTACCCATAAAGCCACCCATAAGCCACCCAGCTGCTACCCCCAGGTGCAGGTTCCCACTCGGGGGTCTGGATGGGGCCTGGGTGCCTGCATTTCCACGACACTCAGGGCGAAGGCGCAGCTGCAGGTCCCCGGAGCACACGGCACCGAGTGTGGACCCCACGCAAGGCCACACACACTCCACGCACCTGTACTCCCGACTGCAGGGGCAGCTCGGCCACCGCGGGACAAGTCGCCTCAGTCAGCCTGCTTAGGTCCTGGTCCCGCAGCACCCATGAACTCTGCACCTGCTTGTTGCATTAGGGCACAGGGACTGTTTCTCAGTCCACCTCGTCTGTAGCTCTTTATGATCTAGAAGACAGGTTTGACAATTCTCCTCTCAACCTCCTGCGGAAGAGCAGACTTGTCCCTTCCGCTCCCTGCAGCCCACCACCAGCCCGATGCCACCGGAGGCCGAATGTTCCAGGTTGCTCTCCCAGCCTGGGGCAGGCCCAGGTCCAGTGCTCTGACCCCCACAGCAGCAGGACCTAGGGGGCCAGGCAGGCACCAGCGTGCGCCAGTCAAGTGCGCACTCTGAGAGGGAGCGGCCCCTGCCACTGCGCACCCTCGGCGCCTTGCCTGCCTCCCCTGGGTCCTGGCACTAAGATTAAGCAGAATAAAATGGGGCCGAGAGAGCCGGTCTAGAGGTGCTGCAGGGGCGGGGTTGTGGGGGATGGCAGCCTCTGGCCGACCCCCAGCACAGCCCTGTGAGAACCAGCAGAGGGTCCAGCCTGGCCCGCATTCGGGAGCAAAGCGGCCCAATGTTAGAGACGGCAGGCCCTCCACTCACGGACACACTGTGACCATCAGACAAACACTGGACTCCCTGTGGGGAGCAACTCGGACTAGACTAAGTTACTGGAATTAAGACTTATTCTATGCATCTGCTCTCCCACAATATGGCGCTGGGAGAGGAGAAAACAGCTTCTACACAGCTGCCTCTTGCCAACTTGAGTGATGACCTCCAGGAGCTGATCCTGCTCCTGATTGGAGGAGCAGCGTACTCGGCATGTGGGCAGCCGAGTTGGGATTGGCAGAAGAGGACTATATAGGAGGAGAGAGACAACATGCAACAGGAACATCTAAGGGGAACATCTAAGAGGAACACCTGTGCAGCCCCCGAGAGAGCCGGCCGGCGGTGTGCCGCTCCCCTGCGGAAGTGGGGAAAATGGCTAGGGGGAACCGCCCTTCCACGGAGGTGGAAGGGTAGGTAGCCAACCCGGGAAGAACCAGCAGCAAACCCGGGGAGGGCCGAGCAGACGAAAGAACAGCGCAGGGTCCTGTGTCATTCCTCCACGAAGACGGGGAGCGACATAATGGTGCCGTGACTCGGATATGAAGCCTAGGCAGGGTTTAGTGTCGTTCCTCCATGAAGAAGGGGAGCGACACTCCCCTTCCAAGAGAGGACACTGCCGATTCTCTGGCCAGCAAAGCAGCACGTCGTGTCCCAGGCCAGATCCACCTCCTGCTCAGACAGGGGTCTGGGAACTTATGGAGCGAGGGGCAGAACTGGGCGAACCAGCAATGGAACGTGATAGGGGCTGGGGAGACAGCTGGGACGGCCTCTGAGCACGCACCTTGGCACATCACGCCTGCCACACACGGCGTGTGCCAACATGCTGCTGCAGCGTCCCCCGAGGTGTGTCCTCTAACGTGACAAGGAACCAGAAAACCCTGCCTCCGTCTGGGTGGACCTGCGCACGCTCGGTGCACTCTTGGCTGCAGCCAGCCCTGTCCGGTTTTATTGGGGACTTGGGAAGGACAGCTCAGATTATTATTTTTTTTTAAATCTGGCAAAAACCACCATTATGCGCTGCAAGTTACAAAGCCTGTCCCTCCCTCCCTCTCTCTGTAACTCTTTCAAATAAATGAATAAATCTTTAAAAAAAAATAGAGAAAGCATCACACATCCAAAAGCAGCTTATGGAAGGAGGTGGCGCCCCAAGCAGAAGATCAAGTTCAGGAGATGCTGCACGAGCAACCGGGGTTACCAGTAGGACGGACGAGCTCGCGCTCGCTGTCTCGGTGTTGCTGTCAGCCAGTCTCTGTCCAGGCTCTTCTGTGACTGCCATCAATTGGCCTGCAACATAAAGCACCCTGACAGAAGAGGCGGTCACCACGTAGCAAGCTCGATTCCCCAAGAAGACGCTGCCCTTCCAGCATGCCTCTGTGTGCACCTAACCAGTAGCCTCCAAAGCACCGGAAGCAAGAAGCCCAACTCCGAGGCAAAGCTCAAGCAGTCATCATGGGGAGATAATTCCTGTAGACCGAACCAACCAACGAGCAAGGTGTCTCTCCTAAGCTGGAGGATTCGCTGACTTTCACATTGGTGGTTCAACATTTTGGCCACAACAACATGTAGGAGACCTTGAAGAGTGCCGGTGGCACTGGGCTAGCACTCCTGTCTGCCTTAGGAAGAAGGGGTCTGGGCTGGCCCACTCCAGGAGAGGGTGACAGACACATGAGCCACCATCCAGAGCCCAGCTGAGGCCAGCGGCCCAGCAGAGCCCTGGCTGTGGTCACCGGGCATGCGGCTGCTTGGCTGTGACCCCAGCGAGTTTGTGGCCCCAGCTGCTGCCTGCGCCTTGACACGCAGTGTGTGCGTCAGCAGGTCTGAGGCAACGTCTACTGACCAAGGCACGGGTGCTGCACGGCCAGCTCACGGGAGCCCACGCCCCCCCCTCTCCCTGGCCTCCGCCTCTGTGCAAAGCAGACGGAGCCTCGCCGGCTCCTCAGGGTGCTAAGGACCCAGTGTGCCACCAGGGCCACGGCGGGGTCACCAACGACTGCTGATTCTTCTTAAGGTGCGGGTCTGAGAGAAGTAGAGACAAAGAGCGCTCTCAGCAGCTTGCCCAGCCCGCAAATGCCCCCAAAGAGCCCAGACTCAGCCAGGGGTCCAGAACTCAACCCATGGCCTCCACGGGGCCGTAGGAGCCCCACAGCCTGAGCCATCTCAGCTGCTGCCCAGGCTCTCAAGACAGGAACCAGGGCCAGGACCCCAGGGGCTCGGCTACGGACAGCGGACAGCGGCCTCTGGCCTCAACCACCAGGCCCAGTGGCCACAGAAGCAGCCGCTTCTCTCTGACCTTGCTCCTGGGCGTCACTGGGGGAGGGGAACACTTGGGCCTTTGCGCCCAAACCACTGGGGAATGTCACTAGCGCACCCCCTTGTTGCAGAGTGTGGGCACTGCGCCCCGGCACCTACCCAGCGCACAGGGAGGCCAGCGAGGCCGGGAGAGTCCAGGGGCTGATGGGGGACCCTTCAGTCAGTCGCAGGTGTAGCCAGAGGCCCAGCTTAGGGCTCGCTGCTGTCCGGGTGCTCGGAGTCTCCCTCCTGGGCCCTGGCCCTGGCCCGCACGTCCTCCTCCAGGTCACACTGGGGCACGCCGGCCCTGGAGGACCCGGTCTCTCTGTTGTCCTCTGTCCCAGGTGCACAGGGACCTGCTGGCCCTCCGGGCTGGGAGACAATGACAGCCGTCACCAGCCCTGCTCCCACGAGGTAGGCCCCTCTCCCAGGGACGCCCACCTTCTCCTCCCTGCCTCCCCTCCTCCTGCCCCTTCCCTGGCCCGGGCCACCGCTCTGCCTGGCACAGGCAGTGGAGTTAGGGAACCCCGGGGTGGCACACCCGTGGAGTTAGGGAACCCCGGGGTGCAGGGACCAGGAGGGCAGGGCTGGCGGTGTCGGGAGAAGGAGCCGCCAGCTCCTCCCGCAACCCGGGTCCGTGTCCGCATGCCCGAGACGCCCGCCCAGGTGGGCGCCGGTCCCGGGAAGCACCGGAGGTGGAGGGCGGCCACCGCGCGTCTGCCGTCCAGGGAAGGCAGAGCAGGCCAGGGCCGGGCACCAGCAAGCGCCGGGCGAGGCAGGGCAGGGCAGGGCCTGGGCGCTGGGCTCAGGGCCGAGCTCCGGTCTGCGGGGGCGGAGCCCGGGCAGGCAGAGAAGCGAGAGAGAGAGAGAGAGAGAGAGAGAGAGAGAGAGAGAGAGAAAGGGCCCCCGAGGGCAGGAGGCAGAGGAAGGGACCCCGGGCTGGGGAGTCCGGGCCCCCGGCGCCTGGAATACCTGTGGGCTGCTGAGCTGGTGGCAGCGGCTCGGACCTCAGGCTCAGCGCGCGCTGCAGGAGTGCGTGCGACGGTTGACGTCGACGTGCGCTCCAGGAGTGCGTGCGACGGTTGGCGTCGACTGGATTTCAGGGAGGCCGTTGCCTCAAGCCGTTTAAGGGCTGTTGGGAAATGGGCGTGGCCACGGGAGGGGCGTGGCCTGGGGCGAGTCCGCGGGCGGGGGCGGGGCTTCCTCTCCAGCTTTCGCAGAGGAGTGCTGTCAAGTCAGTGTCTCCGAATTCGGCAACGTGCTGCACGCGTTCACTAAGTCATGCGGTCTCTCGGGAGCTCCTACTTTGAATAGAAGCACCCATCCCGCACTTGACTGTTACCTGTGGGGAGTGGAGGAGGTCGCTGGCTCCTCCCTGTAGCTCCATCAGCACCATCTGCCCTCCTTGTTAAAGCACAGGAGGTTCCCAGCTCAGATCCCCGCACAACCTCCCTCGTGGGCTTGCGGCCTCTGTTGCGGACGTTCTCAAAAAAATCGTCAAAGTTCTGTTCAAAACGCCTGAGCTCCAGCTCGGGGATGAGACACGAGGCTCAGAGAAGCAAAGAGATTTGCCCAGAGCCACACAGCGAGTGCGCTGGCTGGAAATCCCGACTGCCTGGTTCCCAAGCCAGGGCTCACCTGCAACACCATCCTCGCCAAGGCCGTGGCTGCTGCTCCTGACTTTGAAGACCCCAGCACAGCACAGGGCCGGGGCAGCGGCACGGCACAGAGCTGAAGCTGGAGCCCAGGTCCCGAGACTGCCAGGCATGCCTCTCTAGCCACAGCATGGGGTCAGCCACTTCCAGAACTGTGCACACGCGCTGGGCCCTGCCGGTGCTCTGCGAGTAAGCCTCAAGAATACCAAAGGCAGTGACCTCACGCAGAGGGGATTCAGACCCTCGCCTGAGACAGCACTGCCACCCGCCCACACCCCAGCCGCAGCAGCAACCCAGGGACCGCTAACTAGAAACCCGGGATGCCTGTGGTGCACCGCCCAGGATGCACCTGCCCCAGGGCCCCCTTAGCAAGGGCAGACAGGCACCCTTCGCACAGCCCCCAGCCTCTGGCTCCTCAGGTCCCCCTGCAGACGGGGGCTGCTTTCCTCGCATCCTCATCACCCAAGACAACGGCCAGTCCTACCCCAGCTCAGGGAAGGAGGCTGTGGGTGCTGGACCAAGCACCAGTGCCCGCTTCTGGATGTGCAATGGTGGGAACTAGGCCCACCTGAGACCACTACCCAGGGAAGGATGGAGTCAGACACATGAGGGGAGCAGAAAGGTAGGCATTTACTGTTACCCGGTCTCCGGAGCGCTGAGCAGCAGGGGGAAGCAGGCACCGCCCCCAGAGGCTCAGCTCCTTTATCCCTGCAGAGAAAGGTCCCCTCCCCCAGCCTCTCGTTGGCTGTGAAACTTGGGAGGTACAATCCCAGCCCGACACGGCACCGGAGTCAGGGTGAGGGGTGGGCACGAGGGGTGGGTGTATGCTGGGCAGACCTAGAACAGGGGTAGGGGAGTTACGTCGTCGTGGTATCATCCAGGCTCTGGGAACTGAGATGGCAGTGCACTGTGTAACGGGCGTCCACTGCTTACAGATTACAGAGCTGCCGCAGGTTACAAAGGATGCAAAGCAACCCCAGCCGTTGACCCACTTCGGGGTTTTTGTCCTACGGGGGCTTCTGTAGCTCGATGTCATTCATGGCCGCACCGCGGCTAAGCTAAGTCTTTCATGAAGAGTCACCACTGGGTTATTTCTCACACAGAGAGTCAACATGGTTTTAAATGGGTCAAAAATGAGATTCTGGGGTGTGGGAGTGAGGAGTGGCCTCCAGCCCTGCGTGCAAGGTGGGGCAGTCACACTGACAACCCACGGCTTCTGCAGACGGGAGGGAGGGGGCCGTTGAGGCCACAGAAGATCTGCCTTGTCCCTTCTTCCTCCTGGCTCTAGGGTCCCTGGGGGCTTTCTGAAGACCCCCCTCTGGCTGCGGGCACTGGCGCCTGCTCCCTGCCACCCCTTCCCCAGCTGTTGCTGTGGACCTCCAGGGTTTCCGGAATGTCCCCGTGGGTTGTGATCAGCACGAGGTAGCTAGAGAAGCATCTCCTCCCGCCGATGGGGTCCTTTGTGCTCAGTAGGATGGAGCCCCGTCCCCACTCCCGGCCCAGGCGGCCCGGAGTCTCCTCTCGGCCACCATAAGTGTGCTTTTCTGGACTTGGCACACAATGGAGTCCTACAGCACGCGCCCTGGCTTGGGGGCTGGCTCCTTTCACGTGGCATCGCTTTCAAGTTCCATCCTGCAGCAGCTCGTGTATCCTGGTTCCTTTCCATGCCCCGCGGTGCGGACATACCACGGTTTGTCCGTCCGTCCATTTACGGACATGCGCCCTGGCCATCCAGACATCTTAATACATTTTTCTACTTTTAGTGACATTACTATAATTCTACATAGTCACGGGTACAATGTGACATTTCAGGACACATAAATTGATCAGATCAGGATCACTGACACACCTGGTACCTCACAGAGTTATCGTTTCTTCGTGTTCAGGACATTGAAAATTTCTCTACTAGCTTTTAGGAAGTACACAATAACCGTGTCACCCACAGCTACCCTACTGTGCCAGAGGACACTGGAAGCTAGTGCTACTGGGCAGCCACACCCCTGCCCCGTGAGCCATCCCCTCTTCCAGCCCTCTGTGACACTGGAACAGACAGGGTGGTGCATGGTCGTCCACTTTGGACAGTAGCGAACCTCCTCGTTCTCTGCCAGTCATGGGACTTGGCTGAAAAAAAAAAACAAACTCAAAACGGGGTGAGTGTCGGCAAAACGTGGCCCCACTACTAGTATTTTCAAAGACTGGGCAGGGTGTACTTTGCAGGCTTGGGGCTTTGGGTGGGCATGGCATGAAGAGAGGTTTGATGCGTGCTCCCATGGTCCGGCTCACCTTCGTGCACTCTAGCCTTTTCTGTGAGCAGTAGGCATTGGTTCAGAGGGACCCATGGAAAGATCTAGATGTAGCCTGCAGCTCGTGGCAAACCTCAGTCTAGAGCAGCTGGAGCCCAATCTGCAGACGTGTGACTGAGATAAAATTTGCGATGGCACTGAGTTTTGGGGCTGTCATCCAGAATGTGACAACTGCTAACCGATACATGCACCAATCTTGAAGTACTTTCAACAGGGGATCTGTACACGTTTTACATTGATCGAGGTAACTGAAGCATTTGGCATTCGTTCTGTGAATTTCCTGTGGGTATTCTTACATTTGCAGTGTATCTTTCATTCTTGAGGTCTCTGCCCCTCTGCCCGTTTTTTGCTTTGTTTCTATATTTAGGAAGGTTTGTGGTTTTGTTCTAGAGCACTTTTACTTAGGGTCATCCAAGGAAAAGCGATGGATATTTATGTAAGAAATTGGCTTGCGCCATGATGGAGCTGGAAGTCCCAATGATCTGACCCAGGAATGCTGGTGATGCGATTCAGTCTACACCCAAAGCCTGAGGATGGACCAGGAGAGCCGGCAGTGTCACCTCTAAGCCCCAGCCAAAGCCCTGAGAGCCTGCAGGGACAGGGGTGTGAGAGGCAACTGCGGAGGCCCCAGGGCCTGCAGCCTGAAGTGCGCAGGCAGGAGAAGCCGGCGTCCTTCCCAGCACAGCAAACTCACCTGTCCATCACCATTTGAGTCTATGCAGGTCTCCAAGGGCTGGATTGCGTTGGCTCATAGCTGCCAGGACTATCTTCTTCACTCGGTCTGCTGTTTCTTCTGGAAACACCCTCACAGTCACACCCAGAAGTCTCCTGGCCAGCTGGGCATCCCGCAGCCCAGCCAGAAAAGGCAGCTGGTTCAGCACCTGCACACGGTGTCCTGAAGCCTCCCCCACCCCTTTCCTGAAGGTGCCTTGCACTCGTTTGCATCATTAGGTGTGAACACTGCCTTGTGACTTTCTATTCTGCTTTCTCTTCCGAGTATTGTGCTAGCTCTATTTTGTCTGTACATCATCACATCATATTATTCCATCTTTTGCCACTTGTGTTTACGTTCTAGGTCTATAATGAAATGTACACACTGCTCACTTGAAGTCCTTTTGCTAACGTTTCTCCAAAAATCTCCTGGTTGGTTTGTCCTGAGAGATTCCTTAGAAAACACTCGTAAGTAGAGTAAGTGTAAGTAAGAGAATGTGCTAGTCTAAGTACCACATTCTCACACATGCAAACGCAGCGCGGAGCTGCTTTCCCGTGTCACTGACACCTGAAAGACAGAAAGCCCTTGGCTCATGCTTTTGTCTCCTTGAATGTTTTCTAAAATGCTGCTCGGTTGCCATCTTGACTCGCACTTTGAGAAACCTGATGTCCACATGGTTTTCTTTGCCAGTGCCTTTACTCTTACTGCCTGAAAAGCCAACAAAGTTCTTCTTTCTCTTCAGCCGTCAGTCACGTTACAAGGATCTACCTATCGGTGTCAGGACATCTTGGGTTAGTTCTTTTCCTCCAAGAACACAGTGGAAACTCAGGATCTTGGTGTTTTTTTGTTTGTTTTTATAGAATTTTCTATGTCTCAGTTCTACTTTGGTTTTGTCCTTGCTGGACGCCAATTATACACATGCTAGTTGCCTTTTTCCACCACTACACCCATACTTTGTGTGACCTCCCTCACTTTCATTTTCTTGGGTCCATTATTTCCACCCACCATGTCTGTTTCCACACCTTCTGTCCCATCTAGTCTCCCTTGGGGGCGTCTGAGGTCACTCTGCACTCGCTCGCTCGCTCTCTCTTCAGTTTAGTGAGCACTCACAGGCACATCTTACTTAACCATACTATGAGCTTTTGGATTCTTAATTTGTGGCCTGATTTCCTATCTGTTATTGCTTGCTTAATTCTGGTTGATGGGAGTGTTGTGCTACAATTCCTCTCTGTTGGCTTCCTACCCTGTTCCGATTTTACCTACACAGTTTCCTCATTTTTAGAAAAAGGACTTCTGTCTGAACGCTTGTGCATATCCCTTGGGTTTTTGTAGAGCAGCAGTGCAGTGGGCCTGCGGGGAAGGGAGTATTTGGTTTGGGGCTCCAGGAACGCCTCTGGCGCCGCGGAGGGAACTGCGGCTCAAGAAAGGCTCTGTCTTCTGATTCACAGCACCGGCACCTCAGCTTAG